TTCCCAGATCTACTTCTCCCTCTCTGCGAAACAAGGCAATTCATGGTGCTTTACATGATGAAAGCATAAAACAAGAAATAAACATGACATTTTTTTGAATGTCATTAACAAAATCATCGAATATTGGAACTGCTTCTCACCGTTTGGTTCTGATTCTGGGGATTCAGAACAGAGTAGAAGCAGAAGACCTGAATAGTGTGGAAGGTTGATAAAGCAGTAGGTCTTTAAAGGGAACTTATGATACTAACTTCACATTTTGCACATTTTTGTTCTTCCATTTGGGTTGCTACTGCTTCTAAAAACAACCCAATCGCTTACAAAAAACACCCAATACATTTTTGGTAATAAGATAAAGTTTTTTGGTGTCTGGAAAATCAGTTGTTTCAAAAACCTCCCGATTGCTAACTCACAATCAGCAGGCACTGCGTTGTTACCTAGCAACCTCAGCAAAGCCCAGCCTCGTTACCTAGCAACCCAAGTGAAGCTCCAGCATGTATGGTCAGCTGGTTTTACCGTTGGAGAAGGTAAGTGTTTTGTTGTTGACTTTGTACTACTCAGAAACCACTTTCTGTCGGTTGTGCAGGAGGCTCCACTTCTGCTTTTCAAAATTGCGCTCAAATGTAATGAACATTACAGTATTCTGGTGCCAAGCCATTCAGTGATTTATAAACCAGTACAAGTATTTTAAAGCCAGTTCTCCAGAGTACTGGAGAACAGAAAGAAATGGAAGCTTGGAAGAGATATACCGAAAGGAAGAGTAGTGTGATAATTGCACGGTGATGGTGTTTGTTTACGGGAAGGACTGCATGAATTCAGATGTTTGATAGTGAAGGGGGGAAGATGATGAGATACTCAGACACTTGAGATTGTATTGTCTGCTTTCCTGATGTTTTATGATGCATTTTCTCTTAGTATCCTTCAATTTTTTTTGATGTGTTCCCGAGTTTTGAGCAATTAGGCGTGATTAATGTGGTAATCCACATTCTGTTTAAGTATCTATATATATATATATATATATATATATATATATATATATATACACACCAACCAAGTTGAATGTTGAACTTTACAATTCAAAAAGTAGGCAAAATGCAGCATTTCTTCTATTTTCTGAGATTGCAGCATTTTTCTGTTTAATTTGTATTTTTATGTATTTGTGTGTTTTTGAATTTGTCCATGCATATGTTTGCAGTGCGTTATGCGTTTGCACCAGCCGACCAATGTATATAACCTCATAAGTTGATTTGTAAGTTGACTTTTACAAAGTTTAGCAATCTCTTTCATGTTAAACAAACAGCTTGACTTGCAGACTTGAATTCTCAATTTTCAAGAAAATCTTAACCACTAGAAAACATTAGCAGCACGAACAGATGCTCTGCTGTCCAAGTTGTGATCAATTGAGTTGTAACAATACTTTCCCACCATTAGGTTCTTTCCCACAAGTCAAGAACCTGGCATACAGGCCATAAAGCTGGGTGAGGTCTCATCAGATGTTAAAGGAAACCCAACAGCAGCTAGGGTCTTTAAGTATTTTATCAGATGTTTTTGGCATGTTTAACATCGTACAAACCACTAATATCATTTTTAACAACAGAGTTTTGTGTGCCGTTTTTTGTTGTTTTCCTGGAAAGGTCCAGAGTTTTGTAATCACTTCCAGACCCAGATAAATTAAGCAACAAAGTAAAAGACTTAAAAAAAAAACCCTCATGGACATTGCCCTCTGTGTTCACTCTCGTTGTTTCTTCCCATCTGTGATGGGTTTGGTTTCTCTTGTGTTTGTCTTTCCCAGCTCACAGGAAGTTAATTTTATTCTCTCTTTTGGCTCCTTGTCAATCATTTACAGGATCTCCTTGCAGTTAAACCAATCGCATGGCAGGAGAGGAATGTCACAGTGTTACATGTGTGTTTTTTCACAGGTTTTAGTATTTTTTCCATTAGGTTTACTTTTTAAAAATCTTTTAAATTGATCAACAACCTCAAATAAAGGAATGCTCTAATTTTAGGGGGACAAGCCGGAGTGGAAAAGAGCTGCAGCTTTGCACCGTGACTTTATGTAATATAGAAATTAATATAATTTCCAGGATTTAAAATGAGTTATCCATGTATTCTTTTGTTGTCAGTATTTGTTGTGTTCAGGTTTCATGTGCTGCACATTGAAGGCAGATAACTGAATTGACTGTTAATTCTGTTAGTGAGTGAGTGGTTTATATCAAGCAGACATTTCCTCCTAACAAGGTTTAATGGTCATGGTCAACGTTTTGAACTGCATAATAACTGACTTTGTTGCCCATTGTAGCAGTTCTATTTATTTATTTGCAGCTGAATTATTTTTAGCCTGATTGATTCATTGATGGACCTCGTGAGGATGTTTTTTTAAATTGTAGCAGATGGGTTTTTAACGGTGATATAAGAGTCACACTGTAGTTCTTAACATGAATACTGCAGCACTGACAGGACTTTCATACATGAAGCTACAGTAAACCGACACGGGTCTGTGTGAATATATGTACGTGTAAATCCACAAGTGCTGATAGATGTTCACATACTGCAGAGAGCACAACCGATTTACTTATCCTTCAGATATATATAGGTGTGTGTTTGGTTGGTCGCTTAGTTGGAGTTTTGGTTGTTTGGTCGAATGGTTGATTGGATAATTTTTGAGTTGGTCAGATGGTTGATTGGATAATTTTTGAGTTGGTCAGGTGGATGGTTGGATAATTTGTTGGTCTGATGGATGGGTTTAGGTAAAAGCCACATGAAGCAATGGGTGGAGAAGAAAGAGCAAACCCAACAAAACCTTCAAAAAGGCCCAGAATGTACTTTTGTAAAATTACCGTCAGCTCTTTGTGAAGGTTTTTATGAGAATTTGCTGCTATTGGGTTTTTACATGGAAATACTGGCGGAACATTAAAAAGCAAAGACAAAAAATAAAGAATTTGGCAGAATTTAAAACTGTGTTTTAAGAAGTAAATTCTGTATAATAATTGACTCTGACTCGCACACCCAGGATGCATCACACGATAAGTATGGTGTTTAATTCCTGGAGGACAGCTGGGCGTGCATCCCTTCTGGTTTATCATGGTGTAGTTTTGCAGCTCACACTATTCTATTACAGCCACATTTTGCTCATTTTAGCAACTTTAGCAGTTATTTTATGTGTCAGAGCTCTTAAATAAGCAGCTGAGCTTCTTTTCCTTTCAGGAAACAGTTGCAGGATGTGTGACACAAGCACACAGAAACACCAACAGTCAGATAGTTTATCTTCATATACGCAAATTACACATCAAAACATGAGGATTTTTGTCTACTTTGACCACCATACTACAGTTTTCAGTAACTCAAATTTGCCTCCATTACTTTTCTTTTCTTGGATTTTTTTAATTAAAACTGCAATTAATTAAAAAATGTGTGTATATAAAATCGACCTATGCTTTAAAAGGTCTCAGAGTTCACACATTACCTCGTCCTGACATGATTTATCACCTTAGAAACCGACGTTTCACCTTTGTGTTTACAACACATCAAACGAGTTAATGCTGATCTGCCTGCTGTGGTTTTGGCTCTGCTGCTGCTCAACACTGATGTGGTTTTATTCTTCCTGCAGAACCAGGATTATCTCAGCACATTTCCAACCAGAGCTGAACACATTCATGAACCGTGCTGAGTAATGCTGAGTGCAGCATTGTGGTCCATTCATAAAAATATGCTTTTGTTGTGTGAGGGTGTGTGGTTGCAGGCGGCTGTGTTAGACCTAAGGATGGCGACGTCTTTAAAAGCTGATTTGCTGCAGAAGTGCTAAAGCAGGGTTTAGTTGTTGCGAACATGACAGGAATAACAAAATAATAAACTAAAACTTACTGGAAAAAAGTTTGACACCATTCCGGATGGTTGCATCTTCTCATTTCTAAGACTGCTGAACTATTTCAAAAACTGTCTGTTGTTGTTGGTGAGCAAAATTAAAATCTTTGAAAAATATTTACTGATTTAGTAAAATTATCTATTTTTTTCTGTGAAACATGTAACGACTGTATTGCTTATTTAAGCAGAAGATGATGGTGGAAATCTCAAGAGGCAGAATGTTTGACTACAGCACCATCATGTGGTGATCTCTGGTTACTACAAAATATTTAATTTTGGTAAAATTACTCCAGCTTCTTTCCAGTTTTAACATTATTTGACTATATGGATCTTTTATCTGATAAATAATAGACAAAGTATAAACCTAACTTGAAGCCCTGAAAGTTGCAGCACCCAAACTTCTTCTTGAGAAATGTAATCTGGATGCTTCCTAATCAACACATTTTCTACTCTTAACAAATTATTTCTTTTACTCTATTCCAGTTTCTAAAAATTAAGCAACTAATGTGAAATAATCACACTGTAAAAGTTTAAAATGCATCTCACTGACGTATTTGAGACAACTGATTGGGTCCGTCGTAATAAGCAACTAATCAATTAATCGCACAATAAATTAAGACGAACTCAATAATTTCCATTTGCATATTTTCTCTTTTTCTACCAAAAACTGGATGACAAAAGTCTTCAGTTTGGTGCTTTGGTCTGAATTAGCTCTTTTTTGAATGACAGTTTTGTTTATAGAGCATTCATAATTCATTTTATTTGTTGTTTCTGTTGTTTTGTTTATTTGTTTTGGATATTTAAAATGTCTTCCAGTTCCAGTGTTAAACGTTCATAAGAATTTAGTTCATCTTCAAGAAAATGTTCTTGCATTCTAATACCATTATCGTTATATTACTTGAAAATGGTTTCAAAACAAAAATATTATTGTATTATTGTTTATCGATGCCATTAGTCTTAATAGAAATAGAACGGAGGAAAATGCAGCTAAGTCCTCTAGAGGTACTGATTTCAAACAAAAGTATGACTAAAACGTATAAATACACATATTTACAAGCAAAAGTTGTGAAAAGAAACACCCATGAAGACATCTGCACAGACAGCTGCTGACGTAAACAAACATCGGCTCAGTTTTGACTCACATGGAGCGGCGTGTTGTTGTTGTTCAGATGGTCCTGACTGACGGGCGACGCAGCAGGATGGCAGTCGAGTGACACTCTCTCTCGACATTCAGCATGACAAGCATATTTGCAGCCTGCAGAGAAATGAGTCTGCATCAGCTTAAGAGAGCGTGAGAGCCAAAAACAATAAGAGGAAGATGTTATTTGTGAGCATCTCAGATATGCAGAAACAACGTATATGCAAATCCTCCATTGATATCGACGGTTCGTCGGTTGGGCTCCTAGATCCCATTTTGCAAATAAAACCAACGTAATGCAAATTCCGAGATAAGCGAGCCATAAAGAAGAAAAGGTTTCAAAATAAAATTCATCGGGACACACTAACATTATAACGATAACGTACGAACAGGAAGGATTTAAATGAAATAACTTGGAAAATAAACATGAATGGAACAAATGATTGAGACAGACAAACATTCTGAATGTTTTCTGTTTAAAAACAAGTGCATTCTGGGAAAATGAGTGCAATACACATTATAATTTCACAACAACTCCACTAAAATCAATAACAAATACCTTTTAATTGAGAAGTTCTTTGACTTTAGTCAGTTAAATTATGCATAAACAAAAGTAATGTAGTAAACAGATGAAAACTTTTCAATCATTGTTTCTAAAGTCATATTTAATGTTTAATCTGTGAACTAAGACAATACGAAGAGTAAGAACCTTATGGGAAAAGTCATGTTATCCTTAAAAACATGCATAAGCTGACAATTGTAATGGATAATAATTGAAATTGTAACAAAAACAAAAGCTGCAGAAAAAGACTGACATTTATTCAAGTGAATACAAAATACAATAAAACAGTGGAAAAGTGCAGTTTTATTTTATTCAACACGTGAAAATATAGATTAATTTTGTCATAAAAATAAGTAAAGTCCTAAAATTCATATTGATTACTTTAATGGAAAAAAATACATTAAAATTTTTGAATTAAGATAATAGTTATTGAACAAGGTAAATAAATTTTAAAATTAAATAATATAATTAACTTTGATATTACACTATAAATATGTAAAGTCAAATGCTTACATTATGTACTTCATTATTTAATAACTTGGATTATTAAAAGTTTAACTTAATAAAATAAAATAGATCTATTTTATGGTAAAATTAATTAGGAATCCAATTTGTGAATAAATAATGATGTTATATTAGTATTATCAATATAATTATCATAAACATGCATTTTCTACAATGCATGTTATTAGTCCTTAATAGGTAAAAACATGCTTTAAAAACTCTTCAGTGATATTAAGTTATAGGAAGAAAGGTTAATTTTAAGTGTTTTGAAGAATTTCCAGTAATATCCTGTTTTCAGTCCAGTTTTCATCCTTAAAACTGAGAATTAAAACTGGATGCTAAAAACATTGGACAATGCTAACACTCTTAAAAACAAGAAGCAGTTTCTATTTATATTTTCTGACATTTACGCATTTAATTGTGAAAAATAAGCATCTGCATCAATAACAGATGAACTACATGCCACATAAACATTTGTTTTTAGGTCAAATCCCTTCATAAACACTCGGTTAAATCCCACAATCCTACCTGCCGACTTCTTCCTCATGTGCTGCCCAACTTTATCCGACAGTTTGCACATGGCTGCTCCCATCTCCCATCTTAAACACAGTTAGACCTCATCGTCATTGTTCATCAGAAAGCTCGGCTCCTCGCTCTGCTGTCTGTCTGCCTCTGATCAGACCTCAGATGTGCGCAGCTGCCATTCTTCCCCTGTGTTATTGTGCTGAGTGGGTGATTTAACAGTCAAATGGAGGCCACAGTGAGATGGACACAGACAGGGCAGGAGGGAGGAGGCGGCGGATTGGCACAGCACTGCTGACTCAGTCATCTCCAGCAGCTCTCTTCTCACTTACGCAGTTTGTTGAAACTAAAACACGTCCGACTAACCCGGCTTCCAATCCGTCCATTCATCCGAACATCAGATCATCGACATGGATCCACAGCGGGAAACACAAAACCCTCTACACACAAACTATGATCCAGAATAGCTTTGCATATGTTGCCTTTTAAACTCCACAACTTGGGTCAAGTTTCTTCCAGAAACTTCTCACAATAATTTGCTGTAATTTTGCCCCATTCCTCCTGACAGAGCTAAGTCAGGGTTTCAACTCTGAGTAGGCCTGTCGCAATAATGATAATCAATTAATCACACAATAATTTAAAACGAGCTCAATAATTTCCATTTGCATTATTTATTGTTTTTCGCTTTTCTTTAAAGCAATAAAGCAAGCCACCTTTGTACTACTTATTAGGGATGCAGGTTATCCATTAAGTTAATCTAAAGTTGATTCATCTTATTGATCAATTCAAAATGAATTGATAAGTGGCTATTTTCTTAAAATCCTGAGTTTTCCATAACATGAAGGTCTAAATTACTCTAAATATTAAAATCTGAAAAGAAATTCATTATTTTATGTCAGTTGTGTTAAATACTGACTGAATAAACAGAAAGTTCTGGTTTTCTCATACTGTTAAAGTGAAACATATTTATAAAATATAGCAAAACAGCAACAGTTTAGGTTGCTGAACAGAAATATAAAAGATGAATAGAATAATATGCGAAACACTTTAATCCCCCATGAACAGAAAGATATTCATTAACTCAAGATCTATCTTGCTTATTGGCGTCATATTTTTTCCATCACTTTACTTTTTTTTATCCCCTCCGCTTTTCTGCCATCGCATTCTCACCTTCGTAGCTCCTCTCTCATTTTTTGCTGAGAAGTTGGCGCTGCTACGTCATGTAGCTCGGCTGAATTAGCGCTATTAAGGAGCTTATCGAGTGCTTATATTTCAAAACAACTTAAGGAACTTGTCAAGTGCTTATATTACTAAAGAAAACCTCATAAATAGCATCTTCCATCCCACACCGAACTCTGTTTGGACCGTTTGTCTCTCCTAGTAAGAGGTGCGCCATCCGCCATCTTTGTTTCTGCATCAAGGACTCCGCTAAAGGATGACCCGTGGCGCCCTCTGTTGGATGGCGGCCAAACTACAACACTAAAAGAAGTATTTAATCGATTGGAACTCATTTTAATCTACTAAAATTATTATTAGATTAATAATTAATAATGAATTCTTAATTAATACTTTTTAATAATTTAATAATTAATAATTTAATCGACAACCATTGCTCAAAGGCATAATAACCTCACTGGATGTAAACGTTTGAGTTTATAGTAATGATAAACTACTCAAATGAAACATGATCAGTATTCTGGCTCGTAGCAAAGAGAAATAACTTTGTAAACCTAGCTGACCCAAAACAGGGAAAGATTAGCCTGATTTAATGTTGGACAGAGAGAAAAATGTGGGGATTTTAAAAAATGTGGGGACGTTGAAGCCTGTAAAGCTTCAACATGCAACATGAATTATCTTAAATAATCTCTAGCATGAGGAAATTATGAGAGAAAGAACTATTTTCAATCTTTGGGCAAAAATATGCAACAATTCCTGCATGTTTTTGCTGTTAGGTCACAGTTTTTAATACTTAAAAATGCTAATTGTGCTATAATGCTGCACCTAATACAGATTTAAAATGCATGATTCAGTTCCAGTTGAGCATTTCACTTCTCCTCTCTTCCTCTTCCTCACCCTCATCTTAGCTCTATGGAGTCATAGTGCTGTCTCAGATAAAAGCTTCCTTGATGCTGCAAATCGATCAGATACAATCAGCCTGACAGAGATGATGAGCTTGGACCAAAAAAAAAGCCCCGACCTTTTCTTTTTTCACATCCAGAAAACTAAATATAGAACTTATTTGAATTTTGGCAACAGATGGTCAACAGTTTACTGGCTTAAACATCTACTGGCTTAGACACAGGAAATACATTAACATTTTTATGGACTGCAAAAGAATCCTCCTATGAGATTATGTTGAAATTGATTGGCGCATCATTTCTACTAATTAAAAAAAAAGTAAATCACTACTTTGGATTAGATTTTAAAGAACCAAAAATACCTGATTTAAATATAGCCATGAAGTTTAAAGAAATTCATATTTATAGTCTGAATTTACTTGAATGTAATGAGTCAGCTTATAACTCTGATGATTTTTACTAATCATCAGAGTTTTCATGACAAATGTACTCAAAAATGTGTTGATATTCTGCTAACTTTCAAAACACAATCTTGCATTTGTGTGCTTAACACAATTAACACAATTAACAATTATTAATTATTATTATTACAAATAATAATATATGACTTATTATTGTCCATAATAATAATAATAATAATAAATTAAGCTTATATAGTGCTTTTTAGGACACTAATTACATGGTTAATGGAAATGCAACTCTAAATATTATTGTGAATAAATATTAATGACTTTCATTATTTTAACTTCATATTTGCTTTTTGATATTGCTTATGCATAATGAAATTCACAAGTAATTTTAGTGTACTATTTTACCATTTATTACAAATAAGCCATTATTATTATTATTACTAATATATGTTTTTGTTCATTTTTTCTTCCATTATGTTTATTTAATTCTATTTTTTATTAATTCTAATTTAAGATCCTACTATTATTAAATATTCCTGGTAATATTATTATCAATCTGTGAGGTATCTAGTAGAAAAACTGTGTTGTAGTTAAAGTATCAACTTTTCCTCATGACTGTTTCCAGTAAAACATGAGCTCTTATTGTGAAAGGATCAGCTCTGAGGTCAAACCCGTCAGACAGGACAGATTTTTTTCTTCTTTTCTTTTAGGCATGTGTCAAACATTTTTTCTCTTTTGGCACCACGTCTCTAATTAAGTCTGTGTTTGCAGAGAGAGCAACAGAGAGGCTTCAGCTCCTCCAACATTTATTTACCTGCTGAGACGTTTCTGACCTCAAACTGAGACAAAATGGAGGAAAGTGGCTCTAAATCTGGAGCTGACCAAATGCTTAAACTACTAGAGAAAATATACATTTGATCTTTTACTATAATTTTGTTTGAAAAAGTTTGAAGATTCACTCATCAACACAGAAATGATCACATTAGATGTTACAGTTAAGCATTGTATTTATTAAATGAGACGGTTCTTTTTCTACTTTAG